TTACTTCAGAGTCCGGTGGTTCTGGCAGACGCTGGTTCTCCAATGGCACATCTCTGACTACTGCTCCCGCTGGGTGGCCCCAACTCTTCTTCCCTCTTCCCAAAGTGAATCAAAGCTTTTCACTGTAAATAGTTCCTGGTTGCCTTAACAACCCTTATTTCTTCACTTATTTCTGTCTACACTTCTGTAAATAGTGCTGTGTTCCATTTGTTAACTTCTCTCCAGAGTGTGCCTTATGTGTCCTACTGGATCCCCCAATGATATGGGCACAACTTGGGACAAAGAGCACAAAGCACCACTCAGGCCAGGGAAGGTCCCCCTTCTCAGCACCTGTGAGGTGTGCCCTGGCTTTGGAAGAGCAATGGTGTTCACTTCTAGTGTGTAAGAACCACCTGGAGAGCTTATTAAAAATCAGATTCAAGGAAAGACTAAAAAACTATCACAGATCCAAAGACTCTAAGGAGATACGAGGATTAAATATAATGTGATAGCCTGGATTCAACAGCAAAAGGGCAGTAGTGGAAAAATTGGTGAAATCCGAATAGTCTGTAGCTTAGTTCGTATTATTACACCAATGCTAATTTATTAATTTTGACAAGTTATTTTGGTCTATAAGAAGTTAACAGAAAAAGCTGGGTGAAGGAAATACAGGAACTCTTTGTAGTATATTTGCAACATTTATTGCAACATTTGCAATATTTCTGTAAATATAAAATTATTTCAAAATAAAGTGTTTACTAAGGGGAAAAGAAGCAGATTGTCATGTGCCCTGAATCCAAATTTCACAGGCTGATACTTAAGTACGTGGCTTGAGGACTGAACCTTGAAAAGTACAGCTGTAAAGGACTTGGAAAATATTAGTTCCGGTAGGGCTGAGGATGGAAACAATTGTTTACTGATACTAAATTATAGCATGATTACTTGACTATTTAAAGAAAAATGCCAAATGAAGCTTTGTCAAAGTTCACCTATTCCAGTTAATTGGAATGATTCATCCCTCGACCAGTTGCTGAATTTAGTTTCATGCATAGAAACACTTGTATGTAGGTGCGGGTAATTACAGAACCAAAGAAAATGAGAGTAGAGTTCTTCTACTTCCTTCTCCCTCTGAGATTAAGGTTTGTTTGCAGTGCATGTCCACACCCTCCCCCAAACTTTAAGTTTCCAAGAAGGTACAGCCAACCAAACAGACTGAGAGTGACTTTCCTCATTGTTTTAATGGTGGGTGTTCTGTTTCTCTGAGGACACTTTGAGCTCCCCGAAGAAAGGAGCTAGATTCTCAGTTTCTTCTGTGCTTTTCTACAGCTCAGTGTCCTTTACCCAGTGCTTTTGGCAAATGGACAACCTATGCTTCCTGGTCTGTGCCCATATTTTGGCCTATTTATTGTAGATATAATTCTTCTGTTCAACATTTTCTATGCCTTTGGCATGGGTGAGAGGTGGGATAGGCAGAGGTGAAAATGTTGACATTATTATGACTTGTTTCTTAACAATGTTAACTGAGCACCTGTTATGTGCCAGCCATATTCTAGCCACTGAGGATCCAACGATAAATAAAAGAACCTCCACCTTCAAGGAGCTGAAAGTCAAATCAAGAAGACAGACAAGCAAGTAGACAATTCCCATACAATCTGTGAGCTCTCCGTTCCTATCCTCATACTTGGCCCATCATGAATGAGCAACCCTTAGGGACAGGAACAGGTTCTAGTTCCAGGTCTGCTCCTAGTAAGAACTGATTTTAAAAGAGGCACAAACTCTAAAATAATTAAGAATGTACCACTCCAAAATATGCTGCTCTGGCATATTATCTATTCTGAATGAAAGGCAGTTAGGGGAAAAAAAAAAAAAAAAAAGCAGCACGTGCAAGATCACTCTGACCTTCCGTTTCTTAAAAGTAGGAGATAAAATTTCCATGTGGAAAAATGTCCTCCCTGTACCAGAAGGAAAGCAACATTCTTAATATCAAGGAAAAAAAGTTGAAGCCGAGAAAAATCTGTACAAACAAACCTTGATAAACTCACCCGTATTTTCCTAGTAGTTTCTTTACCCAATTAACTACCCTAGACCAAGCCCCTTTGCCTTGACACCGCTTCACAATTTATTACTCTTTGTGCAATTCAATGTAGAAGAAACGGATTCTAACTGCTTCTTTGGGTCTTCATTTCCTTCTAAGGGCCCCCATGCCACATAAAACTTGCATTAAATAAATTTGGGGTTTTCCCATTTGTCTTAATACCCAGGCCCAGCCACCACCCCTCTCCCCACACACACACACACACACAAAATCCTAAAAGGGAAGAGGAAAAGTTTTGCCTCTCTTACACCTTCCATCCCCTAATTTTAAAAAAAAAAAAAAAAAAAAAAAAGTGAAGGGGGTAATTTTAAAAAATATCTGTCTCTCTGCCTCAGGGCGCTGTTACTCCATTGTGGGTCAAATAACAACGGATATAAAAGTGTTTTGAATACTGCCAAGGGTTATAGAAATGTCAAGCAATAGAAGTTAACTAGAAATGCCAAGCAATAGAAATTAACGACTTAGACAGTCCCTGCCTACTAACTCTAAGGCAAAAAGCTGGTGGTCCAATGACCTTTCTATTAAGCACAAATTTCACACAGTAAGATTGTATGAAAAGCAGTCCTTTCAAAGATTTAAGCTCTGTTGCTTTAGAGTTAGCAATTAATGAAAATTAGATTAACATCAAAGAACTGTGTCAGAAGGGGAGAGGTTGCCTGCGCAGAAAGGCAAAAATTGTGTGACTGCTCCTCCTCCTCGCGTTTCTCCTACTGCCCTAGTGCCGCCTTGGCCATGAGGGAGATCGTGCTCAGGCAAACCAGACAGTGCTGGAACCAGATCGGCGCAAATTCTGGAAGGTGATCTCTGATGAACATGGCATCGACTCTGCTGGAGCCTACCATGGGGACAGTGACCTGCAGCTGGAGCGCATCAATGTGTACTGCAACGAGGCCAGTGGTGGCAGGTATATGGCCCGTGCTGCGCTCATGGATCTGGAGCCGGACACCATGGACTCCATGCACTCAGGGCCCTTTCAGCAGATCTTCAGACCAGACAACTTCATCTTTGGTCAGTGTGGGGCCGGGAACAACTGGGCCAAGGGGTACTACATAGAAGGCGCGGAGCTGATGGAGTCAGTGGTTTCCAGCTGACTCACTCCCTGGGTGCGTGGACTGGGTCTGGGATGGGTACCATTCTCATGGGCAAAATTTGGGAGGAGTATCCAGACAGGATCATAAACACATTCAGCGTCCCGCACTCGCCCAAGGTGTCAGACACCATGGTGGAGCCCTGCAATGCCACCCGCTCCGTCCACCAGCTCATAGAAAATGCAGACGAGATGTTCTGCATCAATAATGAAGCACTTCATAACATCTGTTCCAGAACCTTAAAACCGACCACACCCACCTACGGTGACCTGAATCACCCGGTGTCTGCTGCCATGAGTGGGGTCACCACGTGCCTGTGCTTCCCGGCCCAGCTGAATGGGAAGCTGGCTGTGAACATGGTTCCATTTCCCTGGCTGCACTTCTTCATGCCTGGCTTTACCCCGCTGACCAGCCGGGGCAGCCAGCAGTACCGGGCCCTGACCGTGGCTGGGTTCACCCAACAGCTGTTTGATGCTAAGAATATGATGGCCACCTATGACCCCTGTCATGGCCGCTACCTAAGGTGGCTGCCATTTTCAGAGGTCCCATGTCCATGAGGGAGGTGAATGAGCGAATGCTCAATATCCAGAACAAGAACAGCAGCTACTTTGCAGAGTGGCTCCCTCACGACATGAAAACAGCCGTCTGTGACACCCCACCCCGGGGGCTAAAAATGTCGGCCACCTACATCGGTAACAACACAGCCATCCAGGAGCTCTTCAAATGAGTCTTCGAACAGTTACAGCCATGGTCAGGGGCAAGGCCTTCCTGCACTTCTACACGGGCGAGGGCACGGATGAGATGGAGTTCACCGAGGCTGAGAGCAACTTTAATGACCTGGTATTGGAATACCAGCAATACCAAGACTCCATAACCGAGGAGGAGGTGGTAGCCTAGAAGCTTCCTTTTCTAGGTAAAGGGGGGAAGCAGTGTGGATTCTTTAATGTGTTCTGATAGCCATTGTCACTATACACTTCTTTTAGTCTTTACATCTTCTCCTACTGCATTTTAAAGCATTTTTATAGTAAGTAGTTTGGCCTAATAAAACACTTTTATAGCCAAAAAAAAAAAAAAAATGTGTGTGGAATCTCCAGTAAAGATGAACCTGACTGGGAATCTCTTATTTTTCTGGCTAAGCTTACACCTCGTATGTGTCACAACGTTAACAGCGTAGTTGTTTATATATTTGACCCACCAGTTAAAGAACCTCCTACAGATACTACTCCCACTTTCTTGACAACAGGTGTGCTCAGTACTTTACGCCAAGCTGATTTTGAGGCCCATAACATTCTCAGGGAGTCTGGGTAGGCTGGGAAAATCAGCCAGATGCCGGGGATTTTGACACTATGACATTTTGATCAGGACCCACTTCAAAAGCAGCCTTCATGCCAAAGATCTGTGGTTATTCAAACCTTTATTGCTAGTGACTTCATGACTGGTATACCTCCAGCACCTGGCAATGAGATCCCTGTAGAGGTGGTGTTAAAGATGGTCACTGAAATTAAGAAGATTCCTGGTATTTCTCAAATTATATATGACTTAACATCAAAGCCCCACGAATTACTGAGTGGGAGTAATAAACTTCTTGTTCTATTAAAAAATAGAATTAAAAAAATTTTTTGATGACAAAGATTCTTTATTATATGGAGATCCTATTATCTGATCATATTACCTAATAAATTATATATAAATGTTAACTAATAAAAATCATGTTCACCAATACGCCACATGCATGTAGTGTTTTATTCTTTGAAGACGGCTTCTGAAACGTCGTACTAAGTCAAACTGAAAGGTAAAGTTCAAAATGGTTTTTAAAGAGTAAAACATGGTTTTTTTTTAGTTATATGAGTTTTATTTTTGCAAATATAGCGAGTGACAGATGGCAATTACCGGAGGCTATTTGAACAAAGGTTGATATGAGCCTTAACAATTTCACCTAGATAAAATATTGATGTCATAACCAAACCATATGGCCCCATTTCATAAAGCGTACTATATTCTGTAGAGAGTGAAGAGGAGGCCTTTCTACCCCAGCTTACCCTATTCTTGTTATTGTTCAATTTCTACTGAAGCTTGTATAACTAGCTGCCAAAAGGTAAATGCTATTGCCTAGCGGAAGACTGCAATTCTGTTCATACTAGAACCAGCAGGGGGAACTTGACATTAAAAATCTAGGACCAGAATCTAAGGACAGGTCTCTTTAGAAAACTGAGCTGTACAGGGACTTAAACAAAAACCATCCCAAAGAATTTGAGCTTTAAGGTGATAACATCTTTTCAGAGATCGTAGCACATGAAGAACCCTGGACACGACATAGAATATCAACAGTCGGCAGAAAAAGGTCTTTTGACTAAAGCAGGGAAGACAACAACAACAATTACAAAAGGAAAAAAAGTTCAGAAGACAGGAATATTTACAAGATGTTAAAAATTACTAATCTTCAGCCAAAATGAGGCCCCTTCGCACTCCCAGAAGCTTTGCTTTCTTCTCCTTTCATTCTTGCTCACATTTTTTCTGTTGCTCTTCCTTTGTCTGGAGACGGGGTTGTTTGTAAGTTTCCTTGTGGAAGTTAATTCTGTTGACATGTCCATTCAGATAATTATTTTCTTTAGATTGCCCCCATGGTTTTAGCTTTCCTTTGTGTGGTTCATAGTTGAGGGGACGAGACAAACTTGCTTTAAGATCAAACACTGGTTTCTTATTCGAGAATGAAGTCTGCATTGCCTCAGTTGTCAACTTGAATGGGGTAATAACAGCAGCAGAATTCCTCTTGTTGGTCTTTAATTTGTGTCCCGAGCATAGCCTCGCCTTTTGGGGTATTCCCAGACATGGTCACATGTGCAGACCTTCTGGCTGGAGTCTTGGTCAGTGAACACTTATGCTCATTATCTTTAGTAGCAGCTGAAAACCTGACACCTGTTTCAGCTGCAGAGATAGCAGAGCACTTGAGTGACCCCTTCAGACCCAAGGTACTCTGACTTGCAGGGCCATAAGACTGGCCTTGCGAGCGTCATTGGCTGATGGGAGAAGAAGCCACAGAGAGTCTTCCTTTTGGAGGTACTGGAGTCATGACTCCTCCCTTATTGATGGGCTGCTGCCTCAGTTCACCGATGGAATTGTGTTCTTCAAAATGTTTCTTTTTCCTCTTAATATATTGATCAATGGACTCCATTTCCTTAAAATGAGCTTCATGAAGCTTCTTAAAGTTTGGAGTGGTGATTGCAGTTCTTTTATTTTTTCCAGGTTTGGATAACTCATCTGTGTAGAGATATTTCTTTCTTTCTGAAGGTATCTTTGCATCTTTGTTGCCATTTATTCTACGTTTTCCTGAGGAAATAGCATTCTCAGCTCCCTTGGTGCTCATCTGGAGAAGAAACTTTTGCAGTAGCTCTGAGATCCTGGCTTTCCTGCTTTTCATGATTCTGGAATTCAGTGGGATGACCTATTTTTATCTCTGAATGATTCTGCTGGGAGTCAGGGTCCACACGGACAGTCTTGTGCCTTCTCCTTGTTTTGGTGGCATGGCCAACTGGCTCTCTCTCAGCTTCTTCCTGGCTGCTGATCTGTATCTCAGTCTCATCACAAGAGGATGCGGAAGTTTGACTTTCATCCTGATCCTCATTTCCTTTTCTTGCCTCACGATTAATGTGGCCTTTCAAGGCTTTTAACAACTTGTCTGCCCTCAGGTTGGCCCAGAGACCCAGACTCTTGGCTAAGTTCTGCAGGTCTCTCTACTTGAGGGAGTCCAGCTCCTCTAGGGAGGGGACGACCATCGCAATTAGAAATTCCGGCAATACTCAGAGAAGATGGACCACCCTACTCCAGTAGCAGGGTTCAAATCCCTGGTGCCACCTAATTCCCTAATCCAAAAAAAAAAAAAGTGAAGAGGGGTAATTTTAAAAAATATCTGTCTCTGCCTCACGGTGTTGTTACTCCATTGTGGCTCAAATAATAATGGATATAAAAGTGTTTTGAATACTGCCAAGTGTTATAGAAATGCCAAGCAATAGAAATTAATGACTTAGTCCCTGCCTACTAACTCTAAGGCAAAAAGCTGGTGGTCCAGTGACCTTTCTATTAAGCACAAATTTCACACAATAAGATTGTATGAAAAGCAGTCCTTTCAAAGATTTAAGCTCTGTTGCTTTAGAGTTAGCAATTAATGAAAATTAGATTAACATCAAAGAACTGTGTCAGAAAGGGAGAGGTTGCCTGCACAGAAAGTGGATCTGCCGTTTTATTCAGGGTAGACCTGTTTTTGCTTCAGTCTCCCTGAATAAGGGTAGTTAGACTCTCCTCTGAGATTTGAAGGGATTTCTTGGCTAGGGTCCTTCATATTTTTATTTTACTTGAAAAGAAGCTTCCAGGTCAGAGATGAAAGAAAAGCTGCTCCAAGTCAGTGCTGGAGCATAAAAACTGGTAAGCAGTTTTCAGCAAATAGCTCATAGAAGATTATGCTTGAGAGAAGTTTTGAAGATCAGATTTGCTGTTTCAGATAAATATAGTTTTTATTCTCAGCCTGCAAGGTAGAAACTGTTCTATTGGAGCAGTTTACCATCTTTCTGTCCGGAAAAATCGATAAGCTTCTAAAGGTTCTCTTTAGATGCCATGGTAACCACATGATTCAGGTCAAGTCTTTCATGTCTGGGATACAGCTTAAAGAATTTTAAAATGCTACCTGAGAAAAAAAAAAAGCTCTTATAATAGGCACTGCTGGTATGTTTAAGCTGGACATGAGACACATTCCCTTCAAAGGCACAGACAATTGTAAGGCTCCACTGTGTCCGACGGTACTGGGCAGCACTTGGGTAGCCAACATGAATGTAAGACACTATATCAAGGGACCTACTGTGGGTGTTGTGGAGTCCTGATGAGGTAAGTAAGCAATGAGGAGGAAGGGACCCCACATTGGGGAGGGCTCCACTATGAGGAGAGCAATGACCAATTGTTCTGAGATACAGCTAATCACAAACATGTAGCCCTCCCCAGCAAGATGCTACAAAACTTCCCTCCAACCTCTGCCTCTTTGTAGACGTTCCCTTCTCTGTATGCTGCCTATTGCATCCTTGCGATATATTTTCATACTTTCTCTAATAAATCTGCCTTTTTTTTTGGTTTTACCTACAACCGTCTTGGTAAATTCCTTTACCACCCGTGCCACTGGCCCCAAATAGTTGCTACCTCCAACAGGTGTGGCGCCCAGGGACCAACAATTATACAATATCCAAGAATACAGAGTAATTATGACATCATAAAGTCTGAGCTTTTTAAATTTAGCTTTTTAATCCAAATTTTATTCTCTAGTTTTTGCTGTGACTTCAACTGTAAAAGTCTTTCACGAGGATTATATTGGTTAAATATAAACTTGAGAATAAGCTGAGTGTTGAGCAGGGGAACAGTAGCAGGATCAGAAAGTTTAAATTGTTTATGGGGCCTTCAAATGCACTTAGCCTGAAAACCCAGGAAGAGTAAAAGGAGAGCTGTCAGCCTATGGGAAGGAAGAGAAACTTTGGCTTTGCTGGTAAGGCAAATTACTTCCAGCATGTGGGTCTCTCTGAAATCCCCTGGAGATAATAATTTCCCTTTACTTGAAAGTAATGAACAATTATCAGGTGATGGGGACTTCTTCTTCGTCATCATTGTGTATGTGGGTGTGTTTATACCACATAAGATTGCATCAGGAGACACTTTGGAGGTCACCATACACACAAACAAATGAGCATCTTAATCATTTCTATGTATGTACAAGAAAGTTGATAATTTCAACCAAATGATCTTCACAGATCCCATGAATGAGCCGTGAATTTTTCTTCAGGAAAAAATACACAAGAGAAATGTCATGTCTGGTCCCTTTTTTACCATGTGTTTGAGAAGGCAAAGACAGACCCACAGGAAACATGGACAAGAGACATTGTTTGATCTCTCTTGACCTTTTCCCACCCTCCATTTCTTTCTTGACCTTATGGAGTCCCCTTCAGCTTCTACCTGTCCACCATATGCATTAACCACTTTCTCTGTCTTTATGTTCAATCCCTACTTTGCTGACACAGGCACAGATACACCTTGGTATTCCTTCTTTCTGTGCCCAATCTGAGAACCTTATGAACTCTCCATAGATCCTCAATATTCTTATCCTCTTATCCTTTCAAACCTGGATCCATCCTGCATTCTTTACTCTCTGTTCCAACACTGATAACTCCAAGAGAAAAGCTACACAACCTTACAGATCCCTTCAAGGAAGTCATGAGTTCTCATTTAAGAATGTGAACTTAAAAGAAAAAAAAAAGAATGTTAACTTCTCAGTCAGGATGTAAGTTTCTTGAGGACAAAAACTGTGTCTCACACTTCTTTGTTAAGCCCAAGGGTACCCCCTGAAGGCTCAATATATTTTTGATGCAATTAATTAATACCAGAAATAAGGAACTAGGCCCGGGCGCGGTGGCTCACGCCTGTAATCCCAGCACTTTGGGAGGCTGAGGCGGGTGGATCACGAGGTCAACAGATCAAGACCATCCTGGTCAACATGGTGAAACCCCGTCTCTACTAAAACTACAAAAAATTAGCTGGGCATGGTGGCGCGTGCCTGTAATCCCAGCTACTCAGGAGGCTGAGGCAGGAGAATTGCCTGAACCCAGGAGGCGGAGGTTGCGGTGAGCCGAGATCGCGCCATTCCACTCCAGCCGGGGTAACAGGAGTAAAACCCCTCTCCAAAAAAAAAAAAAAAAAAAAAGAAATAAGGAACTAGGAGGGTCAGTACTCATTTGACAATCTTATGTATCAAACTTTCCTTCCTAGTTTATGTGTAAATAAAGTAGGTATGTGCTATTCCAAAATAATTCCAAAACATAGCCTCAGAAGAGACTACACCTAAAAATCAGCTTGTAAAAGTTATTCTGTGGATTTTAGAGTTATAAAACTCTTCATGCTTATTTTATAACTCAAAATATTTTCTAATTTAAGATCATCCTTCCTGTTAGGTAAAGCAGTATAACGAGCTCTTACTATACTGTATGAGAAACCACATTTAAAGTTTCACCAAATAGAAACTCATCTTCAGGTCATATTTGTATCTCTCCCATGGAAAAACAAAAGGGTCTTTCCATGTTAGTCAGAAAGGCATATATCAAAGGAATCCTGAAATATCTCATTTCAGAGAGAAGAAAGTCAAGGTAATGGCTACTGTGAGGTGTAAAGTTTCAATGGGCAAAGCTACATTGCCCTGAGGGAGTCCTGGGTACTTTGAGTCCACACTGGGAATGCAGAATGCTCTTCCCTTGAGTCAGTGGCAATCTAGTCTCAGCTGTGTGGGCACTGCTGCTTTGCCAAGCAAACTGTGCTGCAGGTCATGAACCTAATACCAGCTTGGCAGGAACAAGCCCGAATGTTGCCTGATTCTTCTACAAATGTAATAATATCTAACAAGCAACTGATTGGACAGCATACGATGTCATTTTCTCTAATTAAGGAACTCTCAAGAAAAACCAAAATAGCCACAGAGCACTGTCAGCAAAGCAATCAGTGGCGACAATTAGCTGTCAACTCCAACTCCTGGGCTGAGTCTCGGGTAGGGAGCCGGGCTAGTTGCTAAGCGTTTCCAAATCAGCATTATCTCAGGAGTCAAAGATGACAAGGACACAAGGAGAGGCCAGAGCCTGCTACACACCAAGAGCACCTGGCTCAAACCCTCCTCTAGTGTGGGGAGTAGCAGGATGTGTAATCACAGGCGCTACTGCCCAGTCATCTGCATTTGCTTGTTGGTTTGTTTCTTGTGAAGCAATGCAGATGGTTCTAATGATGAATCTTGCAGTGAGCTTCTGAAGAAGCTGAAGGCCTAGTGGCTGTGGTCCTTGCTGTTTCTTTACCCTGAGTCACCCTTCCTCTTTACCTGAAGCAAGTCTACCCATTCTTTAAGATCTATAGGCAGTTCATGCCCATCTCCTTTAAAAGGACTTCACAACTGCAAAACACACATGAATTTTCCCTTTTCTCAGCTTCCATAGCAGATCACCACACTGTGAGGTCATTAATAGCAGGAGTTGAAAAAACATATAAAGCAACTAAAATAACAGTTGCCACAATATGTAATAATATAAAACAGTCAGGTATTTTTATACATACACATATATGCCTGCACTCGCTCGCGCTCAATCTCTCTCTCTCACACACACACACACACACACACACACACACACACACACATACATATATATATATATATATATACCCCCACACATATAGATACATAATTATTACAAGAAAAAGCATTCTCTATTTTTCAACATTCCTCTCTGGGCACATTAAACAAAACTGTTTATCTTCTTGAAACTACTAGAAGATGGTTCTTCCACTTCACTATATCCTTCCATGCTTCCTCAAGGGAGTGAACTGAATTGCTGAGACTGAGAGTGGGTAAGGGCATGGTGGGCTAGGTACATCCCTATGAGCTCAGAAGCATGTATTTCTCTTTTCCATGAAAGATTTCAGCAATCAAAGTAATAGGAGGCTTCATTATAGATGAACCTGTTTATAATTTAAGCTCATTCTCCAATATAGCAGCACTGGTCGTACTACTAATACTTAGCTCCCTGTTGGTCTGATGTCTGCATTTAGTTCTCCATCCATAGCAACCCAAACCACAGTTGCTTTTGCAGAAAGAGCATGCCCAACTTAAAGATACATTTCTCAGCCTGCTTTGCAGCTAAGGGTGATCATTGAGATTATGGCAGAATTCACTGACCAGGGCAACCAGAACAACTCTACCTGGGCTGACTCCACGGGGTGGCACAGCCTTGCGCCCTCCTCTGGCTCCCTGCTTGGAACACATAGGTAATGGTCCCAAACTGAACAAGATAAGTTAAAAAAATTAATGATGCTGCCAGAATGTTTTGACTTCATGTCTCTCCCTAAGCAGGGAAAGGAATGAGCTTAAAATACTTAAGTCCAAAAACAAAAGGAAAGACAAAAGGAAAGCAGGTGCTATAATCAAGAAATCACGGCTAGCATTTTCTACGGAATTAAAGGAAAGAGAACAGCTTAAGAATTTGGATAAATGTAAAATTAACCTTTATCAAGAGTTGAAAAAACTAGAATTTTGGCAGCACACCCCTTTCACTGAATAACAAGATACTCAAAGTTGGGAAGATTAAAAAGTTGAGAGCTCTTGGCAAGAACCTTGTCAGAGGAACAGGTCCTTGCTACAACCCTGTGGGCCAGGTTTTTGAAGCATCAATAGCAACTTTATGCAGGAACCTGCTTCTTAAGTTAAAACCAGTATGAAGAGGGCAGAATAGCCCTAGGAAGCAGGTTTCATGTGGGCCTCTGTCCATTTTGGCTGCTATAATAAAATACCATAGATTTTGTGGCTTACAAGCAACATTTATTGCTCACAGTTCTGGAGGCTGGGAAGTCTCAGATTCAAGTGCCAGCAGATTCACCATCTGGTGAGGGTCCTCTTCCTGATTTATAGATGGTACCTTCTTGCTATATCCTCATATGATGGAAGGGGCAAAATTCCCACCAGTTTCTTTTATTAGGGCATTCATTCCACTCATGAGGGCTCCACTTTCATAATCTAATTACCTCCCAAAGACTCTCACCTCTTAAAACCATCTCTTTAGGGGTTAGGTTTTAACATATGAATTCTGGGGATTATAAAAACGTTCAGATCATAGCAATAGGTCTAAAAAAACCTCTTTATGAGAGAAAGCACCAGAAAAATCCCTGCTACAAAAAAGAGTTAATGTTTTTAAATGCTAGGAGCACAAAGCTCAAAAACAATGTTGAAAAATAATAAGTTTTAAATAAGTGTTTCAATAATTAAATTGATAATTTAACTAGAAAATGCATTTAAATGCCTTAATTCTGTGCACTATACCCCCAGATTATCCTTACAGTAGAGTTACCTTCACAATATTTTGACTTTGAAAGATTTTAATCTCAAATACAAAGTCGACTACAAAAAAACATAGAAACCATGATTATGTAAAACATCACATCTAGTGCATCCTAAACATTCTAGTACACAAGAATCACTCAGGGATCTTGTTGAAATGCAGATTCTGATTCATCAGGTCTGAGATGGAACCTGTGATTCTCCATTTCTAACAAGATCTCAGTAAGTGCAGATGCTGCTGGCCCCTGGACCACCCTTGGAATAGCAATAGAAAGGATGTAGATGATTAACATATCCAAGCTGAAACTTGAAGTGATGCTCCCGAGATGGCTAGGATATCAGTAAGTTCTGGAATTAGAATGATGCACTTCTTGACACCACAGACAACAGTAGTCCTTCTTTTGGATCTTTAATTGTATACCCCTCTTCTGAGAATCTGTAAACTTCTCCAGAATGCCCATTCTACTGTCTCATTTTTTGACTTTTTCCATTTTTCTCCCTTTCTCATCACCCTGTCTTGAAGGTATTTATGGCAGGGAGAAGCCAATCTTCCTCTCTCCTTTACCCAAGACCTCAAAATAAAGCTATTCTATTGCAACATTCCTGCCATTGTAGCCATGTATTTCCTGAGAAGGAACAAAGAAAACTGCCAAACACAGCCAGACCAAGAAAAGAATAAAATTTAAGTCTTCTCAGTTTTCCTATTAAGTTTTAGATTGTAGTTTTATTGACTTCTTTTGATTCAGTTTCCATTCATTTTTGAATGGCAATTGTATTTACAACCAAAATTTTTCTTCAAACCAGTGACTCTCTTAAAAAGTTGCAACGACATCCATGTAAGATACAGAAAACCATGGAGAACATCACTCTCACCCTAACAACAAGAAAAGCTTCATCATCAACAAAATCATACTCGTATTGAGCCCATTAGAGAGCTAAGGACACAAGGCAACCAAGTGAACTAAGTTTGCCAAGAGTGACATGTCCTTCCAAAGTGAAAGGGGTCACACAAACTGTCCCCTTTGGCAGGGCATGGTAGGAAGAGGCAGCCATCATGAACGCAGGAATAAGAAAACAGCTAAAATGTTAATGAATTTCTAAAGGGCAAGTGCGGGCTAGTATGACAGTTATCACTGGGAGCCTCAGAAACATGAGATGAGCCCCAGGTATCCCTCAAGCTTTTTGCCAGGACTCTGCAATGAACGCTCATTTAAAAGAAAAAGGGTGGGGCTGGAGATTGGGGAGTTCTCCTTTTAGTAGGGCACAGGCAAGAAATTCTATCCACTTCCCAAACTTCATTTCATATTAAGCAAAAGCTTTCAACAACTGGTAGAGAAGCAAAACACCTTCCTAGCCCCAAGGCCCAAGCAAAGATCCACTGATTCTTGAAAAGCTGTAGAAGCAAAAGCCCGCCATCTGCCCTAAGGGAAGGAAAAGAAACTTGCAGGTCCAGGATCCTGCACTGACACAAACAAGAGGTCTGTTACCATTAAGGGAGGGGCAGGAAACTCTCTCCCACACAAAACACTCCACAGATACACAGCAAACTTTG